TTGGTTGGTTTATTTGGTTGTTTGGTTGGTTGGTGATTTGTTGGTTGGTTAGTTGGTTGGCTGATTTGGTTGGTTAGAGTTTAATGTAGCTTTAGTAATCTTTGTCACGTTTACCTTCTCTTTATAAGGAAGAGTTACATTATGATCTGGTGCAATGCATTAAATGTTTTTACACTTATCTTTTAATTGCACACTGTCCCGATCAAATCAAATGAATGAATTTAATTGTTGACGGATTCTATCTGCTGCATATTCTGCAAATAATTTCAGTGTTTGAGACACCAAAGTTACACAATCTTTACCTTCTCAGGTGGATCTCAATGAGGAGGAAACCATTCTGATCATTCGGCGTCTGCACAAGGTGCTCCGCCCCTTTTTGCTTCGTAGACTGAAGAAAGAAGTGGAGTCTCAGCTGCCAGAGAAAGTGAGTGTAAACCCAGCAGTGTTTCCTCAGAATAACCATCATTTAGCATGTTTCTGTACGTGACAGGTGTTTTTTTTTATCCTGGTGGAACTTTGGGCAATAGATTGGATGAACTTTCTTTACTTTCTGTCAATCAGACCAGCAGAGTTAAGTTGTTAATCCTGTCTTGAAACCAGTTAGAAGTATGCAAACAGCCACAGTGAGTTCTTTCTCTGTAGCTGAACCATTAAAACCCTAACCTTGTGCTGATGGATTTGATACCATGGCAGCACAGACTCTCTTTGAGTTTGATCAGAAACTCATCTGGAGAAAACAGATTGGATCTACATTGGGTGTTCTGCCTAGTAAGATGCTGCCTTTCCAACATAAACAACTTTTTTAAAATGCTGTTATCTTTGATGACCTCGAATGTTACTTTTCAACGTCTGCAGGTATTTGAAGGTGTCAGGTTTTACCTGCTGATAGTAGAAACTTCTCAGCTGCAGGTGTTAATTAAAAGTAGGGATGATGGCAGGGCTATGCACGTCTGGGAAGAGAACTGCAGTTTTCTGATAAAAATCTGCAAAATGATTTGTGTTTAATGTATSAAAAGATGATGGTGAGAGTTACTAACAAGAAGTGTACTGACCTGCTTGAAAAACCAGCTGCTATAATAACTTTTATGTTTCTTCCTGACTTCATTCCATGTTTGTTTTTCCTGTTTTCACATTTTGTATTTTTTCCCCGCAGTTTGTTTTTTGCAGATAAAAGTAAAACAACGATGAGAAACAAGTTCATCTTGAGATAGATGCCTCAAGCCCCTGAAGCTTTTATATTTTGTCTCATCAGGTGGAATACGTCATAAAATGTGACATGTCTGCAATCCAGAAGGTTCTGTATCGTCACATGCAGAAAGGAATCCTCCTAACGGACGGTTCAGAGAAAGATAAGAAGGTAAATGTTATCAGGACACCTGYGTGTGCTCTGAATAACCAGGTGCTGTTTACTGAGTTTAGACTTTTCTACTTTTTACATCAAAGGAAGTTTGGCTCTTTTGAATAATACATTTTAAATTGATTCTAATATGAAATCACAGCAAATGTTATTTTGTTTCCTTCACAAGATGAAAGTCAGTTTTTATTTGAAAAATCTTTTCAACTGATTAATGTTCAGGGTAAAGGAGGTGCCAAGACTCTGATGAACACCATCATGCAGCTGAAGAAGATCTGCAACCATCCATACATGTTCCAGCACATCGAGGTACTCATTACTTCTTTACATACTCACAAGACTAGACTAGACTAGAAAAGAATAGAAACAGCCTTTATTGTCCCAGCGGAGCGGAAATTCAGGTGAAACATTATTGGCATCAGGTTGTATTTAAGAGAAATATAATCACAATTACACTAATGAACTGCTTTAGTAAGTAGGTGTTTGTAAAAAGAGCCACCAGGTCTCCTCTGAAGGTGGTCTGAGCCTCCTCTGAAGGTGGTCTGAGCCTCCTCTGAAGGTGGTCTGAGCCT